GGGGGGGGGGGTTGCTCCTGCGACGGAGCTTCGCAGGGCCCGGGGGCGTGGGGTGAGCGGGAGGGGGCCGGAGCTTGCCAAGGCCTGGCTCAAGCTCCGCTGGAATGGCTGTGCCCACTGGGACAAGGTGTCATCGGCACGGCTCTCGCCGCCTTGCCGTGCTGCCGCGCTTTGGTCTGGGGTCTGGGTGTGAGGTGGTGCTGTGAAGGATCTGGTGGAGGTCTCGGGGGAGCAGAGTTGTGGGGCAGGCAGGGGCTGTAGGTCGTGTGGCCCTCCTGCTCCTTCCTGGTCGGCTCCGGAGAGCCCGTCGGTATAAGCAGACTGTTAAGCCACAGCTTTGTGCAGAGGAGGGCACGAAGCTTTGCAGCCAGGATGACCTGGGGCTTAGGGCTGTGCTCTCCTGACCACTGTTTTTGAGGGTTATGGTCCTCTGGGACAGGTGTGTGCTGCTTTTTTCCCTCTTGTGTCTCCTATAGTCTGTGGCTTCCAAAGGCAAGGCTTTTTTTCCTCGCAAATCAGCTTGGGAATGCCCTGCCTGGGCTAGCAATGACAATCTTATTGGCAGGTGTTAATCCCACCCCGTCACACAGTAGAGAAGAGGTGTCCGTGTTGTGTGGTGTGGTGTGCTCATAGGGAATTCAGCTGCAGAAATAGGAATTGGAGAAGACCTAGTTTATTTCCATTGGCTGATGAAGGATTGTTCCCTTTTCCATAGAGCTCTGTCCTGTATTAAATCAGAGTTGGGCTTTCCCTAGGAAAAAAAACCAAATGAGCAGAGACAAAAACAGTTCAGTCATTCAGAGGGTAAACGGGGTATTTGGATTAGACCTAAGAGACACACTTGATCTTGCTTTGGAAGCCATCAGCTCTAGTTGAGGTAATTGCTCCATTCTTTCTGAAATCTACTCCACATTTTGTAAGTGTAGAGCTTGTCTTTGATTTTTTTTTTTTTAGGATTTTTTTTGTTAATGCCTCATGCATCCTCAGCAACCGGTGACTGAATTGGTACCTGCATGGGCTCCTTTTGGGTGAGGTGCTGAAGGACTGTCAGTCCTTTATGCTGTTTGCCCGGTGGATATGATATCTGGAGTATAAGCTTTAAATTTCTGGTCTTGGTCCTTTGCCTGAAAAAATGCTTTGTTTGTTTTTCAGTTCAAAGAAGAGATTTCCAGGCGGTTTAAAGCCAAACAGGATCAGCTGGTTCTGATCTTTGCTGGGAAGATCCTGAAGGATGGAGACACGTTGAATCAACACGGGATCAAAGATGGGCTGACTGTACACTTGGTCATTAAGACTCCGCAGAAGTAAGAAACTGTTTCATCTTGGGGGGCTGAGGGTAAATGAATGATGCGAATAAACGCTGGGGGAGCGTTTCTGCTCTGTCAGGGACTGAAGCAGAGTAGTCGTGCGAGGCCTGAGTGCTGGCGCTGGGGCGTGTGTGAGCCTGGCAGCGGTGATCTGGTGGGAGAACTCTCCCTGCCTTGGCTTTGCTGTGGGGTTTATCACAGCCTGTCTCTTCCCTGGCTTACACAGCTCTGTAAGTCTGTAGCAAGTACAGCTCATGTGTGTCACTTTGTGTATTTTGAGCCCTTATGATTTAGTAATCTTGAAAGAACCCATTGGAGCTTGATACTGGTTCTAACAAAGATAAGTTCCTGTTAACAGAAACTACCTTCCCCATGAATTTCTGTGGAAGTTGTAGCTAATGCTCCGGTTTTTCTTTCACTTCCTATCCTAAGCTCTGCTCAAAGCCTGTGCTCATGCTGTCCCGGGTGCTGTGGAGACACACCGTGCCTGTCTGTAGGGCAGAAGGGTGATTCTGCGGGCAGGCGGGTGCTCCACTGCCGTGGGAACGTGCAGAACCTTGGGCGGTGGGACCGCGGGCGTGCGGCAGGGCGCTTGTTCGCTCGAGTGCTGCGGGCGAGCCCAGGGGTAGGTCGGACACGGATCGCTTGTGTCCCTCTCCGCTGCATAGCTCGGTCTGGGAAAAGGGTTGAGCTCAAGGTTTGGCGAGGTTAGGCTTGGCCTGGTGGAGCGCTGGACGCAGAAGGTTCTTGGGAAGAGTTGATGTACTTCAGGTGCGGCTGCATCTTCTTGTTGATCTCAAAACCCCCTTTGTAACCATTTTGTGGGCTCCCTGCTGCAGCCTGATGGGACTCCTGGTGAATTAACGGGGCTGCGTCTCTTTCTGTGGGTCTGCTGTCCCCTGGGAGAGCTGCCTTACTGGCTTAGTCAAGATTAGTGTGCTTTTTTTTTTCCCCTCTTTTTTTTTTTTTTTCTTACAAAGACAAGTGTGTGTATTGTCAGCTTCTGCAGGAGGCCTCCCTCTGGATGCTGCCTCTCCAGGTAGCCTGATAGCCTGATGCTGTTTACCACTGTCTCCACAGCAAACTGCAGTACTTGTGAACCAATTCAAAGGGTAAACAAGAGATCTCTCCTGGGTTGCTATTTTTTTTGTCCCACTAATAGTCATAGATAAGTGCTTTCTGAAGACATTACAGCCTCTTCCTGTGCTGAGAGAAACCAAGTGACCTTTCTTCAGCTTCCTTCTTCCTTTTTTGTTCAGCTTCCTATTTGCATTGTTTCCGTGCTCTGCCTCCCTCTCGGTGGCTGCTGATTTTCAGCAGCAGTCAGGTGAGTCTGGGAAGTGGACAGGGACCCTCAGGTGTTTTTTGTTGGGTTTTTTTTTTAAAGTCTTAGAAATAAGAGTGATAGGGAAAGGGAGTTAGAGAGAGGAATCATTCTTGCTTTGGGGAAAAAAATTCAAGAAATTGTTCTTGTTTACTTGTCAGTGGCATAATAGCATTATTTGAGGCAAGTAAAGTTAGTTTTTGTGGTCAAATTTCATGTGAAAGCTCTTCAGCACTAGTCCAGGACACGCTGTCATGTCTGCAGATGCTTCAGAGAATCTTTAAATGTTGTCTTTCAAGTTCCTATAAAAATCCTGAGGAGGAACTGTGATTACAAGGTTCTAGCTTGTGTTGGTTTACTCAGTAAAGCTCATGTCCAGCATCTGCTGTGCTGTGGCTTATGGCACAGTATGTGCATGTGTGTATGAAAAGAAGCTCTGGTCAAATTTTTTTGGACAGAGAAGCCTTGCATGTGAAGTACAGCCAGTGGCAGAGATGTGAATTCATAGCCAAGGTGGCAGAAAACTTTCTGTAGCTTCATGGGAAGGATGCTAGCTGCTTTGTGCCTCAGTTTCCCTCTCCGTAGAGTAATGCTGATATTGGTTTTGCCCGCAGGAGCACTGATAGAAATATTCAGTGCATGGGACGATTTGCAGAAAAGCAAATTCTTGTTTACCCCATGTACTAGCCCTGCTGTAACCTCCTGTGGTTTCTGTGGGAGCAGCAGGAGGATTTTCCTGTTTGGAGCAAACTCATTGCTCAAGGATATATAGCTGAGGTAAATAGTTCAGTGTGATTCAAGGAAGATACAACTCGGGGTAAGACCTGTCAAGCCACTTTGTGTGGGCCAGGATAAAATGTCAGGGGCTGTTATGCATCAGGATGAGAAGCAGATCCCAGCAGATGGAAGGTGTCCGGGAGCACGACTGGGCAGGTGGGAATGGAAGCAGCTGGGGCTGCCCTGGGGACAACGGGTGTGAAGGGAGGGGCGGTCAGCATGGGGTGCCCCCCCGTGTGTCCCCTGCAGAGGACTCTGCTCACCGTTCCTGAATCTCAGGGGTTTAATGCTGCCTTTTGTTTCTTTCCAGGGTCCAAGATTCGACATCTGCTGCTTCTGCCCCGAATGCTGCTTCTGCCCCCACTGCAACCCCTTCTTCTCCCGCTGCCCCATCTCAGCCTTCCACATCCAGCAGCGCCGTTCCCGACGCAGGCAGCGGCAGCCGACGGAGCAGCGGCTCAGGGACCATGGGAGGTCCTGGCGACGGAGGCCCCAATAGTGCGACA